CTATGCACTCATTTGTTAAAGTAAATGACTCGAAATTCGAGCAGAGCGTCGCTTCTAGCAACTGACCTTTCCTTTGACGTGACCTAGTATAATTGACACTAAGTCTTAGTGTAATGTTTCTAATGATAGACAAGACCTATCAGTCATTCCAATGAATACTGATAGTTCTATCAAATAAGGATCAACTAGCCAGGATATTTAGGAGGCAGGATCATTTCGACATAAAGCTTTTTTGAAATCCAACAACCAAGCCAATATGACCATTCTAGACGCCTCTCCCGTAAATAGATTAATCAGTATAACGACTTTGAATCACTGATAAATCTTATTTATACATTCAGAATAACGACTTATGACTATAAATATAAGTTATACTAAAAAGGCTAGAGTGTAGCTTAACTTACGGAGGTTTTAGCGAAAACCGGGAAATTTGCACTGGCAGAACTCTGGGCTGATAGCTACTAGATGTAGGGCTCCTAGGGATAGGGGTGCAAATGAGCCAAGCTACTCGTGAGCTACTCGATATCGACTCGGTAAAAGCTCGACTTCTAAACTTTCCAAAATACCCTAAACTCTAAGAAGAATTCAGACCAAAAGAGTCGAAATCGAGAGAGAGTTGTGTAGAGAAGATGTGGGATGGAATAAGATCATGGCATCTATTTATAGCCAAGAAATTGGATTTGCGCGCCGCACAATGAGGGTGTGCGTCGTGCATCTGGGCTACGTTGTTCCCCAAGTCTGCTTCCACGTGTCAGGTGCAGATTCGTCCACGCCCCCTTCTAGAACGTCAAGCGCGCCGCGCCATTCACCTGCCCGCCGCACGCTTCGCATGGTTTTCCATTTCTTTAAAGTTTCGTTTCCTCTTCATATGAACTCCATTTTTGATGTATTTTATATCCACGCGTAACTATCGACGAGATCTACAACTTTCCTTTTGACTCTGTCGGCTAATTTTGACTTTATTTTTTAAAATTATATTTTTAACAGACGTAGATTGTTAAAGTCAGTTAAAAATTTATAACTATCTCATCCGCTGTTCGTTCTCGGCTGTATTTATATTGATGGAATCCTAACAACGAGATCTTCAACTCTCGTTTAGAATGTTTTGGCTAACAAGCTACCGATCTAAAATTCGATATCAATGCGCACACTGTTGCGTTGAATATTAGAAAAATCATAATTTTCTATATTGAAGTGAGATTTAGACGATACATATACGCACAAATTCTCTTTTAAGATAACCGCGACTTTCGTTTAGATTATTAAGGCTAATAATTGACCTATCTCTGATTTGCTATTTACGATATCCGTAGTCGTGCCGGTTCGAGCGTGAAACTTCAACGGATTATAATTTCTTCGTTCTAAGTCCGTTTTGAGCGCTCCTTATATCTCCGAAATCCTTGTTACGACTACTACGTCTTACTCTTAGGCTATTCATCATAATCGTTTATCTATTTAGACGCGAATTCTATTCCTATTTCTATGACGTAGCTAAAAACACACAATATATATATATATATATATATATATATATATATATATATATATATATATTTATAGACACGCACACACACCACGTAATACTCAAATAAATCTCATTTATTTATCTAAAACAATTACATTAGTTGACCCTAACTATCACTTCATCTTTATTAATGTCTAGCGGGAAAAGCGGGAGCTACACCCTAAAATAAATGCAAAACAACAACTTTACTTCTAAGTTGATTGTATCTTCACGTGTCATGATAATTATTAAAAAAAAAACAAAAAAACAAAAAAAAAACTCTAACTAATGGTCTTCTTGACAGGGTTGGATTGTCATAAAGGAAGTTTGGCTCGAGGGGTCTCACAAAGCGACCATGAGCTTGTGGACTGAGCTGTTGTCCCTTACCCAACCGGAAATCAAACGGGTAAGAAGAAGAAAATAATTTTAGCTCCATAACCATAAGATGAGAATACCACCTCGGGTGCCTCTTTCAACATAGGAGAGGAAGTTTTGAAAAAGTTTATTTCTAGACATGTGCCTCGGCCAAGAGGGAAACTTCATGTTTTGCTTGATTTCTTCCCTCATGTCATGCATCATGGCCAGGTGAATTGTCCCATTACGAGTAAACATCCGCAAACATCCGGCCATTCACTTCTTTAAGACGTGGAACTTTACGCCTTGTTCCCGAGTTCCACTTAAGGAGAGAAATGGGAGGATACGGAGGGAAAGTGAGGGGTGTCGAAGGAAAATCATGTTCCCGAGTTTCATTAATGGAAGGAAAGTGAGGGGAGGGGAAGGATTTTGGAGTCATATTTTCCTTCCAAATTTTCCTCCCAAATTGGACGGATTTGGGAAGAAAGTGAGGGGAATGAAAATTTTTAGTTTTATTTTCTTTTTCCTCCTAACTCGGGAACACAAAAACTTAAAATTTTCCTTTCATTTCTTTTCATTTCCTTCGAACTCGGGAAGACGGAATAATGAATATTTTCCTTTACCTCCCTTTCTTTCCGTCAAAATTTTCCTTCACTTTCCCTTGATGAATTTACAAAAAAACTCGGGAACAAGGGGTTAGAGCTTTCCTCTTATAAATAAATAAATAAATAGGGTTAAATTTTTGGTAGGGGGTAATGATATTTTTTAAATGGTTAGGTTGATAAATTTAATATTCATGATCATCTTTATTATAATCGAATTTTAGTTTTTATTGTTTTATTTTCACTTTTATGTATGGGACATTGGGTTAAATGCCAACATTTAAAACCAGACGCAAAGAAAAAGTGCAGTTGATGATGGTCACCTTTTCATTCACTCACTGACTCCCTCCTTTCATTTCACGTTCAGTATTCCAAATCTACCGCTTCTATTACACACTAAATTACTCGCATCTTCGAAGCAAAGAACCCAATCGGATCACAAATACTTGTCTTCAATCATCATCTCATTGCTTTCAGTCCAATTTACCTCTCAAATCTCTCCCTCTCGCTCGCTTTTATTCTGTAATTCGTTCTCTCTATATAAGTGTTTTCCTTTATGTTTTTTATTTCGTAAATATGTTAAATTATGCTGGTTTTTGGTGATTAGTTGCAGAGTTGTGGCTCTGGTGATGATTTAAAGTGATTTTTGTAATGGCTGGTGAAATTGAAGAACCGTTGCGGTTTGATTTTCAGGTAATTTGCATATATTTCCATCGTTACTGGATCTGATTTATGCTGATTTTTACTGAAATTATGCGTGTGTTATGTCGGTTTCCTATGTATTTGGTTAATTTGTTCATTAGATTAACTTAATTAGGTCGATTTCTAGCAGTTGGCGCATAATCTCACTATTAACTTCTCATTTACTTTTGCGCTATCGAGATTATTAGATCAGTCTTCGTTTTTTTTGGAATGTGGAAAGAATTTTCTGATGGAATTAAACGTCTATGTGATCGAATATGATTAGATTTAATATCGAATTAGCTCTAGTCAATACTCGCATTTGCTTAAGAAATCACAGAGGTCCCTGAAAAAAAGTAGGGCATCGTTAAGAACATCGTAAATGCTAACAAATACAAATGGTTTTACACTCTATTTCATGTCGCAATCTTTTGATATCACTTCAAATTAACAGGCAGATCATGTGCACTCTGGATCAATTTCATTTGGAAGATTTGAATCTGAATCATTATCATGGGAAAGAAGATCATCCTTCTCACACAATCGGTATCTTGAAGAGGTGGAAAAATACTCAAAACCAGGTTCAGT